TCACTCTCACAAACCTCAATCATGATGAATTCGAACAGCCAAACCACCAACTCCGGAAAACTTAACTCCACGAAGCTGATCAAACATGCAGCCAAGCCTCTGAAACGTACATGCGCAGCCAGTGGCACCTCTGCCGAAGCGATGAACAAAAAAGTCAAAATTGGTGCTTCCTCAGTCAAAGCCGTCTCCGGTAAGGCGGTTGCCTCATCCGCAAAGGCTGATGACGTGTTGTTCTTCAGAGCCGTCCAACTCGGACCATAAGAAGGGGGTTCCAATTTTTCCTGTGCTATGAATCAGATTCCAGTTTTGTTCTTCTGCGTTTGTTGCTCATGTTGACAATGTTGATCAATAGAAGCCGAGCTGGGAAGCTGATTTCCGCTTCAACTTACATTTTATGCTCTGCTTTTCTAACCATTACGTTTGTTTTTCATTACGTTTGTTTTTAATTAAGCTATTTATGTGAGATCTGTTTAAAAGCGGTTTGTGATTTTGTGAGTTAACTCATGTTTACAGCCATCTTGAAGCGTATGTTCATATTTTAACAGATAGACCAACAAGCTTTAACAGGTTATAAAGTTATATGTTTAGAGCTCTGTATGTGATTCACTTTAACATGTTATAAAATCACATGTTTAGAGCTTTGTATGTGATTCTAATATTCCAAATATGCAGGAATTTGACTTTATCTGCACTGGCATCAAGATGGACAAAAGATGGTGTTATGGTTCTAGCTTCAACCCACTGTCTCAGCCTTTACGAGCAACAATCCAAATGCTGTTGGTGTCCTCCGATGAAATCTAAGAAGAACATGTGTTATACGGATAATAGCCATCATATCAGAGATCGAGATGGAAGGCGAGTTAGGAATAACAACTACAGATGCGGTGGCTCAAGTTTTGGTAAATTGCTGTTATTTGAATGGTAATTGTACTTTGCTATCATATCAAGTTTATACCGGGGTAGCCTTGGGAGCATTTATCTGGACTTTTATAGAATATTGTCTTCACCGTTTCGTTTTCCACATGAAGGCCAAAAGTTACTGGTTCGTTACACACACATGTACTCACTATCTATGAATTAATCCTCTTCAACTAGATGCTAATGTTATTCTGGAACCATTCCAGGGGAAACACGGCACATTCTATTCCATCTCTGGAACCTTGCGAAGCTTCTGGCAACTCCTTCAGCTGCACCTGCATTGTTTCGAGGCGGCCTGCTTTGGTATGTGATGTACGATCTTACTGACTACTACCTTCACCATGCTAACCCAACTACAGCAGTGACCAAAAACCTCGAGGTTAAACAAGGCCAAAGTCTTTTTTTTCTTTTGTATACATACAAGACCTTACACATCCGTTATCGAGAGTTTATATATGATTGGCTTTTTTTTAATATCTGCAGAAATCCCATTTGACCATCACTTCAGGATTTAGGACAAGGGGTTTGGTGTAACTTCGTCGCTATGGGACAGTGTTTGGTACCGTTAATTAGCATTGTTTTCTACACTTTTATTTTGATACATGGATTTTTATATTTTGGTTATTATATAATCTTATGAATACGTTTTTGACATGGTTTCAAAGTGGTAGTATAAAAAAGAGTAATTATAATGAAACAGGACGAACAAAGTGATGCACACCGTGTGTTTGTGGCTATGACAGTTACAACATGTACACTAATTTCCCAAGATTAAAAGTTAGTGCTTGGAGTATATCAATATACCTAATCTCATTTGTTGGTTTAGTATTATTTATGAAGCTAAAGACATCTAATTTCTCCAAAAAAAACTTCTTTTAGAGACTTACGTTTAGAAAATGGTGTAATCTTTGAATTCATTCTAAGTTGTACCAATTGAAACATTAATTTTCTTGCACACCAACTGCTACATATCATAGATACGAATGATAAGTTTTCGTTAAATACATGCAATACTACTTTTTAAAAAAATATATAGGTAATAGCTATTATCTGCGATATTATAAAAATTGCTTATTTGGTATATTTTAAAAAGTATTTTTTAATTATTTTATCAAACTTATATACATATTTTTACTACCTATTTTTATTGTATATATATTAAAACAATGGAGTTTTGATATTTAAACTCAAACATTAAAAAATAAAATATACATATACATAACCAATTTATAAGAGATAAGTGTGTGTACTTTCTTGAGCACTCAAATAATAGTTGAACTCGGATTATTCATATATTATACGATAAAAAGTACTTTCTCTGTGTTTTTTGTTTCAAACTAAATGACATTTTTAAATTTCAAAACTAAAATTTATTATTTTAATTTATATCACTTTTTATATTCCATAAATATAAATTCTCTAATTAGTTTTATTACTGATTTTTTAGCCTAAAATTTTCCATATTTTTTTTTCAAATGTTTTACAACAAGTTGAGTGATACATTATAAATTTAAGATGCTGATACAAAAAATATGAAGCAGCTCCTAAAAAAAGTAATCAAAATAATAAATTTGAAAATGTACCAAAATAAGTGTGAAAATAAAGTAAGAATCAATTTTAAAATTGCTACTTTTTAAATCATTTTAGCATTGAAAAAAGATTGATGTCAATTTTGAAGGTTGTTCTATATAGATTCTAAACACTGTTAATATTTTTCCAGTTTTGTAATATTGAACTAAATTAGTTAAAAAGAGCAAGCTTAGTGATTTTAAAGTAAAAATATAAATCAGTTGCGATTAATAATATATTTTTATAATCTAAATATGTAAGATAAAAAAATATTTTGGCTAATAACTAAGGTTTAATAAATTATTTATTCATTTCATATTTACTCATTATCCTATACATATTTTAAATATTAAAAACAAGAAATTGTGAGTTTTACTCATATTTAATTCAATTTACAAAAGTTATATTCAGTTTACTATTTATATTTTTGACAAAATACTATTTATAGTTTTATAACATAAATGTAATATATGTTCAATATATACAAGATACATTTATATTGTATAATTCCAGGTGTAGCCCGGATAAAATCTCTAGTTATAGTAATGACCCATAACGTGATTTAAGATCTTATTAATTACTGATTACATGGAGTCTGGAAATTTGGGGTAATGTCCAAATTCTCTTCTAATACAACAATTTATAAATAAAAGGTATGTAGATGTTATAATGATTCCTAATTTTAAGCATTTAGTTAATACATTGATATACTCTTGTGGCTTTTTGTGGACTGTGTAATGATTTGAATATGTTTTAAGGAAAGTATAGACATGTACTTCCACTAGGCAAATTAATTTCAAAAATAATTTATCTATGTAAGAGTACATATCTTTAACATTTAAACTTTTTTCAGATTAAAATCTTACATACTCTTTTCTCAATATACATACGTGTCTTTGATAATAAAGTTGGCTTTGTTTCTCTCCTTGGGGGGAATTAATCCACGTGTCATCTAATTTAATCATCTCACGATTTTATCTTGCTGAATGGGCCAAGTGTTATATTTGAGTAAGTTAGTAAGCTTTTATACTGTTTTTCATTCGAGCCCAAATTTGTATTAGATTTTAATCTTTTAGATGTTGGGATACAGACCAGAGTTCCTGTCTCCTTCCAGATCAAGCCGCCGACGAATGAATCCTCTGTAACGGCTACATTTTTCATTTCTATCTATTCTCTTTATCCGGGCATTAACATGCTTTTTACCACTCCTCTCACTCACATGCATTAAATCAACCTCATCATATTAAAAATAACCGAACAATTTTCATTCTATCTTCCCAATAATTATCTTATACATTTAACATCTCCGCTCATATCCTTCATATCATATTCTGGTTGTGTGATGTTTATAGCATAACTCTGAATTTAGGTCGTGACCAAATCTCAACATCAATCAAGGTATTCCCAGTATAAGATTAATTATTTCAGATTTATTTTCATTGGATTCAGTAATGTTTTAAAAATTCATAGTTTACAGATTATGCAAGATTGAGATTTTCTCTTTTATATTTAGATCAACTTCACTTCCCTCTAGAATGCAATTATGGGTTTGTCACCATACGCACAAAGCTTTCTTGATTAAATATCTAACGTTTTCAAGAAGAGAACCATTCCAAAGGTAAAAGCTTGATTTCTTTGAATTTTGGATCTAGATGATAATCTGATTTGTTATCTATAAATAAACATAATTAGCTATACGATCTGTTTTACAAGATTTTGCAAATATTTGCTCATGATTCAACCCGAAAAACAAACCCGTTTTAAAATCAGGCATGATTAGCTATTGTTTAAACATGTTTCAGATTTCTGATCGACGTGTAAAGTTTATAGGAAATCTTTGTCTCAGGAGACCTTGAGGCACAAGATTCACAATCATCAGAGATAAATGCTTGGTAAACTAAAAAATTTCGAAATCTGAAAACTTCAAACCAGTTAGATTCATATATGTCAATAGTGAATGAAGTCATTGACTTAAGATTCTGGGAATGTATAGTCTGTAACTGAGCTGGAAAGTCCATGATGGAGTTGTATCACTAAGAATTGGCTTTGTATTGCATTTTTCCCATTGAAGAAAGTTAAAACGCCTCCGGAGACTTTTACTTGAGATTTCCATGAGAGGAGAGTTTGACCTTCTTTATATATAGAGAGAGAAACATGGTGTTTCAGATATATGTCAAGCCCCAAAGGTAAGTCTATTTGCATCGTAACATAGTGTTTCAGATTTTCCCAATGTGGTTGAAAGTACCATTATCGTATCTGAAAGCCCTAATCCGCCATTTCGCTGAAGCTTCTGGCGACAGAGAACAAGAACACTGTTTTTTTCTGAGGCACCTCAATCTTATCAGGCACGAAAGAGTCAAAATCAACTACTACAATTGCGATGAACATGATAGTGATCACACTTTGCTTCACTTTCTTCTTTGATAGGTGCTCAAATTTATTTTTGACCAATCTTGCATTTTTTGCATTTTTTATTACATGTCACACACGAAACAAGCTAAACTGCTAAAGTGATGAAGGATTACCAGAAGCAGTATTCACAGCTGAACATGACGGTAAACAAATTTTCTATTCATTTCTAACAACACAATACTCTGAAATTATGGGTAATTGTGAAGATTAGTTGACTCATGTTTGTGTGTTTATAGATAGAGATGGTGTGCCAGGAAATTGATGAAACACTTAAAAAAGAAGAACTTGAAGAAGAAACTAAAGATCTAACTAACCAGGTAGTTACTGCAATTTTAGTCAAACGATACATACACACACACATACTTACACACCTTTGGTTAGTTTTCTTCAAGCTGATGTTGTTCTTATAGATGGTTGATGAGATTACACTACATCTCAGGTTGGCTTTTTTAAATAGTTAAGTTAAATTTGTCAAGGAAAACATTATGGGTTGTTTAAAAATCAAAACTTTGTCTCTTGCTTCTTTCTAAACATTTATCTTCAGCTTCTCTGAAACAACTACAAAAAAAAAAAAAATGTTTCCACTACGGTCAATGAAAAGAGAAAGAGGCACGCGTACGCATGTTGACTGTATCAGTTCAAATAACTTAATTTGCTTCATATCTGAAAGAGAAAATTAGTTCATTTGATGTTCATATCTTTTTGCAGCTCCGAATCTACTGAAGTGGATGATCTATAGAGGAGATTAGCTTAGCTATGATGAAACAGAGAGATGAACCTTCTTATTTGTAGGTAGCATATGTCAGCATCAAATGTAATAACTTGCTTTTCTGAGAGTCAGTATAATATCTACCGATACAATAAACAAGTTTGGATTGGACGTATTTTACTTTTACACATCAACCTTGCAAATAAATCTCAGCCAGACCAGCTAAGAAACAGATGTTGTCTTTTTGTTGTTTTTTCTATCCTCATGGATCTACATCAAAAGCTCCGAAGGTCGAACAAAAAGACATAAAAAATTAAGAAACAAAAAACTTATAAACAAGTATCAAGTTAAGAATGTCCAAACATGATATTCCTTGATTCCCTTCCATTACTTACCATGTTACTTTGTAATGATAATCTTTTTAAAAATCTCATCAGACTCAACCTATCTCCAACCATTCCCTAACTCTCCCTCTATATATATACGTACAAAAATATAAACTGAAAATAAATATAGATTTAGTACAATGGTTACACTCTTGGATTATACTCACACTTCTTCTTTCCATCGGTCCTGCTCTTGCTTCTAAACAAGAATCAAACCCAATAATTAATTGGTGTTTCCTGCATAATTATAACTAACATCGTTGACAAAGTTAAAAAAAAAAATATGAAATTTTTGTGAATAATTCAAACTTTTGAAATGATATTACAAATGAAAATTATAAAACCAATATGTGTTATTTTATATTAAATTTTTGTTTTTATTTATATTTTAAAAACACCTTTCTTATTTTTTTTTAGAATTTATGACTTGATAATATTTAAATATAAATCTATATCTTATTTTTCAAAAAAAAAACTATAATAAAAACTATTACATCTTAATCTTAAAATTATTACTAGAATAATCATCTTCCGAGTTTCGCAATCGTCACGAACCACCGCGTATCACCAACTCCCCCTACCTCATAAGATTATCTTTAGCCCCTCCATGAGGCAATTGAATCTGAGTTAAAACTGCATCACCTTCGATACAATTAGCTACTATAACAGTATTTTTTTCAAACTGAACTAAGATACCTAGCAACAAATGTTCATAGTTTTATAACACAAATAGCAAACAACATAATATAAAATGTATCTTATATTATAATAACTTATTACACAAAAAGTAGCCTATATAATATAAAATGTACTAATTAAAAAAATTATAAATATAAAAGATAAGCACTCCGTGCGAAGCGCGGAAAAACCACTAGTATATATATATAGAGGCCGTGAAAGACATCTCTTTATCAAAATTGATCACATTCACAAATATATTAATATCAGTTTTTTTCTAGATTCACTATTAGGGAGCTTCATATTTGTTGCAGATTTGAAACCAATCAAAACAATGCAGAAAATAAAGGTAAAAATCATATGTTCTTAGAAATAATATTTTTTTTGTCAGTGGTATAACCATTAAATGGTTCTTATTAAGTATTCATTTGACATAAAACACATATGAATTCAGTATGTTTCTCATCAACAAAATAACAAAAATCTTACTGAATTAAAAATCAGTCTCTTCAAATTTTAAAGTCTATGAACTATGCATTGAGAGAATACATGTTTGACATATAACTCTACAAAGAAAGATGAACACAATGGCATATTTCATTGATTTATGTCTCCTTTGACCTCATAAATGTACAGCAACAATACCTATAAAAAACAAAATTCTGAATCACTATTATGTAATAGAGAAGAAAAAATTCTAATTAAAAGATTTTATATACCATAAACTTTTAATTTATAAATCTTAAATAAATATCTCACTCAGCGCATGTGTGTGGGTTACTACCTATTACACTATTATAAATAGAGAAATGTACCCTTAACTTAATGCTCCTATATTTTAAAAAAATAAATCAATGAAAATAAGGAAATCCCTATTTCATTATGTATTCTATAGAATAGATTCTACATATGAGCTGTATTGGGCGACTAAATAAGGTACTCCAAAATATAAATATGTTATGCAATCTAATATATTAAAAGAGAAGTCATGACTCATTTTATGTATGATATTTTAGTTTGGATCATCCTTAGAATTTTATAAAATTTGAGATAAAATTATAATATTTTTTCATATCTTTAATTTTTGTTTGAAATAAAAATAAATAGTTTTAAGAAAATTCTAACAAAATCTTTTAGAATCTTTTCAAGATATAGTTTCAAAAATTATTTGATTAAAATTTTAAATTATCATAAAATATAATTAAATTTTTAATTCATTTTTTATTTATAAACAAAAATTAAAATTATGTAAAATACTTTTAACAATATCCCAAAACTTTGTTTATGTATTATGTAAGTCCAACTTAATTTACTTCTTACATATATTTTGAATTTAGAAATAAAAAAAAATATAAATTAGTAATGTTACATAATAATGTTTTTATAAATTGTTACAAAAATATAAATTTATAAATTTTATATTATTAATATTATAAGTCACATAAAAATTATTATAAAATTGGATAGCATATAGGATCAAATTATATTTATTTATTGATAAATTTTATTATATCATTTCAAATATTTTCGTATTAATATACCCGCATGGTTGTGCAGGTCGAAATCTAGTTCAGATTAAGTTAGATGAAAAATGCACTTGTATTAGGTGTTGGTTTTAAATTTTTCCAAGTAATCTCCTTTATATGTCATTAACTTCATTGAACAAATTTATAACATATAATTTTGCCACCCTCTTTATATAGATTATCATATATCAACATCAACGAAGTTAGTGACAAAATTATAACGTGAAATTTTCGAGTTTTAAAATACAAAACATGATCATATAATCTATCAATGCAAATTAGGAAATCCCTCATAAACTAACTTTTTAAATAAAAATTCCTAAAAAGATTTTCCAAAAATAAATCAATCATTGGTAATGCTCCTTCATGTAAAAAAATCAATCAATGAATTGCGTCTAGATGAAGAAAAGGATTTGTAGTGGTAAAATGCAATCATAAACCAATCATATTTATATAGATTACTATATATAGACATCAACGAAGTTAGTGACAAAATTATAATTTGATCATACATAACGTACTATATATTTGTATATGTCCATATAAACTACGTGATTTTTAAAAATACATTACGTGATCCTATAAATAACATAATTTGATATTCACATATTTATATGTCTGCATTTTTACTTGAATAAATTAGTACATAACGTACTATATATATCATTGTATGTATATAACACTGTTATTTACATATAAATAACTCCAGTATTATGGACGATTTACATGTCCACATTTTTAACGCGAATATATATATGTCTACATTTTTACACGAATAATAAAATACTGGAGTTTATAAATTTTTGAGTTTTAAAATACATAACATCATCATATAAATAACATATAGTTTGATATACACTTTTTCTATGTCTACATTTTTATTTGAATAAAATAAACAACATATATAACATATTTTGATATACACTTTTTATATGTCTAAATTTTTAAGACAATAAAATAATACTGGAGTTTATAAATTTTCGAATCTATATATCCCTTATATATTTTCGAAATATTGTATATGTTATGAAGGCTGTAACATATTTTGTCTTGAACATGCATATAAAATGAAGCATATAATATAATTTTTTCTTTACAGCAACATAAACAGATTCATACTGAATTTGTAAACGAAATCGGTAACAATCCATCCATGTGAACGACAAAAGATGATTGTTTTCTGACACTGCGTGCTAAGCTATCTGCCCTTAAGTTTCGCGTTCGTGGTACATAGACGATCTCGAAGTTGAGGAAACTTTCTTTTAGCGTCTTGAAATCCTCCATATATGTTGAACGCTGGTCATTCTTCTGGTTCCGGCACCATCTTCACCAATTGAGAACAGACTGTTGCAAAAGTTACTTGAAACTGATGCATTTTTTTCTTATATTCCATTGTCCAGATTAGCGCTTACACTTCGGAATGAAGAGGTAACAGATTAGCCCTAACGTTTCTTTCCCCCATTAGTCCAGCAAAGCCTTCCAGCGTACTATACCAACCTTGCCCAGAGAAAACCTCCTTATCCTTCCATGATCCATGTGTAAAACACCAGCACCATGGTATTGATGGTATGTTCGTATCTTCCACTTTGTTGGGGTGCCTTTTGTGGATGTATCACCTAGGCTTCAGCCCAAAGGATTGATTCCATTTCCGCTAATTTAAGTGTATCCCTGGGATCCATATCCAAATTGCTACAAGTTGTATTATTCCTTCATTTTCAAATATATCACAATATTCATGTAAATTGATGATCCTCTATTTTTGGGAGGACTCTCCAGAATAATCTATATAATATAATCATTTGGTAGGTTTATTTGGTAATGGCATGAAATGTAAGTATTCTAAGCAAAAAATGATTAATTAATAAAGGATGTGAGGTGTATTGTGGTGTTGACACATAGGAAATGGCAAAGTTGTTAATCACACATGAATATGAGGTTTCTTTTTTTAAATATTCCTCAAATAATAATAAGGGGATTATTAATTTTTTTAACTTATGTACTCCCATAATTTGTCACACAAGTGTCATATGTGAATATAACCTTACAAAGAAATAAATATATAAAATTTAATAAAGATATAAAATAAATTACTATTTATTTAAACTGAAGCATAAATGTAAATAGCTAGCGAGACGTATACCAATTATTGGTTATAGACGCTTTCTGAATAAATTATAAACTCTATAAATTAATTATGTTAGAACAATAATATTTAATTAATTTATAGAGTTATTAATTTATAATTTTTTTCTTTTATATTTTTCTATTTTAATTTTTTTTTATAAAAATAAAAAGATCGATGTTGATTTATATAGAATAATTTTAGACTTTCTACTGTCAAATTTCTTTATATATTATTTAGTGTATTGGAAATATGTTTCATAGAATTTAAATTGAGTTTATGTATAATGTAAGGAATATTACCAAAATAAATAGAAGT